TTAAAATACAGATGTGACGTCATCCTTTGATGTTGGCGTAAAATTATTTCCAATAATGTACGGGCAATTTGCCAATCGTACATTATCTATACTAGATGAAATATTGGACTCGCGTGACGTATTTCATTGAAAAGCACGTGCGGGAAAGTGTCTATATTTTAAGTTGTTTAATGGTCTCAAGCTAAAGACATTGCGTAATATATTGAAACAACACGAGGCGTTCAACCATTAAACCATACATACTACAGACTAAGACAAGCACATGGCGGCTTTATTCCAACTGAATGACGAAAACGGAGTACTAATACTGTGACTGAAAGGGTTAATTTATGTGACGTCATTTTACTTCCAGTCTGTATACACTGCCTCCCTCGGTGATTGGATTTTCCTTACGGCGGATATATTTTATGAATATAATTCGTAGTTTTACGTTCTTCTTTTTAGTGGTATAAATATTATTTGAAATAGGCTGCTTTGGGTTGGCTGGCCGTGTTATTTTTGTTACCATATGTTTATAATGGAAGTATATGTGTTAATTTTGTTATGTGATCGGCACATGTTTATTGTATAACTTAATAAAGTTTTTACATGATTTGTGTATAGATATATGATTTTTGTGATTGTGCCTATCGTTAATTTTATCGTGCCGACTACGTGCTGATATTTATTAGCAATTTTTATTAAGTGTTTCAGACTGTTCGGCATGTTAACTCATTTCTTCGGAAAATAGGTGAAATGTTTATTCATCCGTGGCACGCGTTATCGATGACATATATTTACATTTTTCGGATACCAAATTTTATATATTGTATTGATAATTAGTTATGTGTATAGTTTTAGGTGAGGCACGGGTTCGGTTATTTGTTGATCTTTAGTTTAATGTTACATTGTACCACTAAGATTAATAACAGCCATTCTGTATAAGTATATGTTACGTGCCCGCATTCTCTGAACATGTTTTCCCCCCATAAACTGTCTTTATGGTTAAATGAAAATACGATTGTGAAGTGTGTAAGTACTTATAAACGGTGATTTTTAGATATTTGTTTTCAATTATATTGTTAGAGACGTCTACAAAACGTCCCGATTCCACACCTTTTACCCAACTGCTGTAAACATCCCCAACCGAATATAATTCGTATTGAGAAATAAATATTGTTCTTTTATTTGATGGTGTTTTGTGGAACTTCTTGGTGCGCGGGTAACAATACTTATATCGTTCTAGCAGAAGTTGTTGAAGGCATGTTAAAAACTTCTAACCATTTAGAATTACTATCAAGTAATTCAGTTTCTAAAACTCGTCATAATTAATATGTAAACGCTGCCAAATACGACTTGGCCATTTCCACGGTAACAATGGTGATGACGGAGGACTTTTACGTACCGATAAACAAACTTGACAACCGCGAACCTTTTTCTCTATATCGTCGTCAATATTAGGCCACCATAAATAACTGCGTGCGAGAGATTTCATTCGGCACATCCCGGGATGTTCTTCGTGTAAATCATCTAAAGGTCTCTGCTGAAACAGTTCTGATCGGTACTAAGTTAATTTCTGCGAATGAAATAGGGCTTTAACCCAGGGTCTTCAATAAAACTAGGCCACTCAGTTTTAACATACTGTAAAACTTTACAAAAGACTGTCCTTCCGTGTAACCTCACTAATTTGATGGCTGTTTAACGGCAATTCATTTACATATGAAAAATAAAACAAGTCCGACTCCGATGAATCGTCCTGAATAACCTTCAAGGGGTTATGCGAAAGTGCGTCTGCATTACCGTGTTCAACAGATGATCTGTATAAGATTTGCTATTGATATGCTGATAAGATCAATGCTTATCTTTGTAAAAGCGCAGCTGCAAGATTATGTGCAGCTGTATAAGGACCTAAAATAGTCGTAAGTGGTTTATGATCAGTCTCCAATATGAACGTTCGGCCATAAAGATATTGATGAAACTTCTTTATGCCATATATAATTGAAAGAGCTTCTTTCTCCAGTTGTGAATAGCCTCTTTCACTCGGATTCAAATTTCTAGATGCAAAAGCAATCGGTTGCTGGTTGCCTTCTTTATCAGCATGCGAAATAACACTACTTAACCCATACGATGACGCATAGCAAGCGATATTAAACGGTTTATTCACGTCATAATGAACTAATAACTTAGTATCTGCCAACTTAGTATCATAAAGGCTTTATCGCATTCCTTTGACCACAACCAAGGAGTATCTTTCTGCAAAAGTTCATGCAAGGGGTTTAGCATAGTTGATAAGTTGGGTAGAAATTTCCCATAATAATTAATAAGTCCAAGAAATGACTAACTCTGAAACGTTCGTAGGCACCGGCGCGTTATTATTCGCCTCCACTTGTTCAGGAAGTGGATGAATACCATTACTATCCGCTTTATAACCTAAATAGTTCACACTAGGTTGCATGAAAACACACTTTGAAAGTTTAAATCTAACACTAAACTTTTCTAGTCTCTGAAGAACCATTTTACCTACAGTTGACAATAACGATCTACCAACGCGTTTCTCGGACTACTTCGAATCTAAAATTGTTAAAATCAGAAATAACATGGTGACTAACCCGAATTACACGAACCTTGTCATTAATGACAACACAACTTGTGTCTTGGGCTGTTTTAAACCCCTTTCTGTTTCTGAAATAACCACAGTAATACGTACTATGGCAACTAAATCCCGTTCTCTTGATGTTATTCCAACATGGCTTCTCAAAAAACACTTGACTGAATTACTACCAGCAATCTGTGATATTATTAATACCTCAATTACTACCGGGTGTTTTCCGGATATTTATAAGCATGCCCTGGCTATGACAATCCAACATATTCCTAGGTTCTACTTCTAATGTCTTCTATTCATTTTATCCCACTTCGTCGCCAAATGTGTTATATCTGGCCCTAAATACCCCATAATACAGAGTAAGACAAGCACATGGTGTTTCAATGATGGCGGTTTTATTCCAACTGCATGTTAAAGCAGACGTGTAACTAATGACAAAATGTACACATGCTCGTGATGTAACACTGTGTAAATCGAGACCATACGTGATGCACAACATATATTACAACTATAATCACTTTAAATATGTAAGACACCATATTGATAGACGCAAACAATGTCCTTTTAGGAGAACGAGACCTTAAAATACGCCTTAGACATCCAAAATTAGGATTTTATACAGAGTTAAAATGATAATGATGATTGGTTAGTTAACGAATACCATGTTCTAAATAATTTAAAAAGGTCCATTGTTATTTTGACCAAATTATGGACATTTTGACCGAAGTGAATTCAGACCGTTTTAGTTTATGGCCGTTTTGACCACGCCACGACTGACAAATAGTTACAGTCGGTCGTTGGCTATTGATTGGGTTGTCTTAAACTTCACTATGAAAGTCCGGACGTTTAATTTTATATTATTTGGCACCATCAAATTTATGAGCTATTGAGATCCTCGCCCTTTCTATCAAATCGTGTTTCTTCCCTGTTCGTATCACATTCTGTCATTCAAACTCTCGTTTTAATTCTAAGGCTTATCCACCCAAGGCCTATCATTTTAAAAGGAAGCACAAGGACATCCTCTTCGGAAACAATTATGTCTGTTATATCGCATATCTTTCGATTTCGTAAACACGTTTATCATTAAAAGAAGATTCAATTCACCTGATGTGTGTTTGCTTGTCTGATTTACCATCTCGTCACGCATTTCATCAATAAATATGACGTCAATCAAATAAAGCGCTACTGACCTGCCTGGTGTTCTAATGATCAAACTAAATTCAGAACAGGAAGTGTGCGTCCCCTAATTTATATATTGCTTTATAATGACATCTAGTAACTCCAGATCGTAACTGTCAGGAAACACTAATGAAGACCAGTGTCTGACAATCGGATCGTACTACATATTGTCCAGAATAGGTTTATCTTATATAGCAGGAAGTTCATTTTCATATTCTTAGAATGTGATAATATTCATAGTGACATGTATTAGAACTGTTAAACACACATTTGATTGGTAGATGATTTTAAGGGCAGTATTTATTTGATCAATTTGATTCTCAAAGGTAATTATAGGAAGGACACGTGAAAGGGTCAAAGCTTCATTTAAAGGCATAGTAACAACGACCAAATCTTTAAAATTTTTCATTTTTACAATTAAAATTGTTCTTTAGATCGGAAATATTTGAATTAATATGTGCTCGATTAAAATAAACAAGGTTACACTTAAATGACACGGAATCAAGTTATGTAAGAGTTCTGGTGGTTACAGATAAGTAGAATGTGCCACTTGTTATCTCTCGAATGGGTGAATACCAGACGTTCAATCAATTATCAAGCTTGACGTTGGTTTCATCAGTTGCATAATCTATTACAAAACGTATCTGCAACGATTGGTATCAAAGTCAGTTATTGTCTGATGAACAGTGGTCACTTTTACATAGCGCTCCGATTTGTGTGGGTTTTTTTTAGTTATTCTATAAATGCATCATTCCATTACCATATTATTCATTCTATAACTCTTTTACGCAGCGTACTTTAAGAAAGGCAAACCAGGATTAGGGACTAACAAAGGTACAGGAAGTATATAAATGTTCTGGAAATTTCATTAGATATCCTTTGATATTTAATCATCAGATCAAATTATTACCGTTGCCAGTCACTATGTCATTTATTTGCTCAACCGAAGCTATATGGTAAAGTGTTAACTTTTTAAAAGAGACACATTTTTATTATAAATTTTAATTGTATATTATGTAACCTGTATATTATCATTTTAACTATTAATATACTTAAAAGACTTATATTTTGTTTAAATTATATTTATTTATCTGTGATACCTGTTTTTATATATGTATATGAATATATTGTTTAGTTTGTCTCGTTAAGACCACCATCTTTTTGGCGCCATATATATATATATATATATCCCAGTTAGAGCTGGCGTGCCATAAAACTCCATTTCATTCATTCTTTTTTTGTTTTATATATTTATTGACAATTATCAAACAGTGTTACATGTTCAACGCACGCCATACCAAGTCAAGAATATTTATTATCGTCCTATGATACCCGGCCCTGAATGACAGCCATGACGACAGGTTGATCTGCTTGATATGGCGGTACTACAATATCGGATGTCACAGTGGACGGCTACAATCCTATCACCAGTAGGAAAAGCGAAAGCAGTAAAAAAGAAACGTGTTTCGGTGTCAGCATATCTTGTTATGTGTGTCTCTGTATCTACTTCACATCTAGAAAAAATAACACAATTAATTAATAACACTGGATGCGATCATACTCCTTGTCACGTACGTGTGTGGGGAACAAACCAGGAAACTTGATTCAAGCGCAAGGGTTAGACATTTCGGCCATCCAATCCCCCTACTACCAAATTAATATGTGAACGCATTGGACGATAAATTGAGTGAAATAATGTGTGCTAGAAAACATAGGCGTACGGGCTCGCTCGATGACAGTCAGGAGGGAGGAGGGGGGGGGGGGTAGAAACCGAAATGTCCGAAAAAATTTCGGGTTACAGACGACGGCGCCGGCTTTCTGCGAGAGCGGAGGAGCAGGGCGTACCGTGCAGGAACCCCCAAGAAAATTTTGGAAAATTTTACGGTCGCAAGCGCCCTTCCTGTTATTCCAGCCTGTGAATACAGTAATTTCAAAAGAATTTCGGGTTACAGACGACGGCGCCGGCTTTCTGTGAGAGCGGAGGAACGGAGCGTACCGTGCAGGGACCCCCAAGAAAATTTTGGAAAATTTGACGGTCGCAAGCGCGCTTTCCTGTTATTCGATCCAGCCTGTGAATACAGCAATTTCAAAGTGGTCGAATTCCAATCAACCAATCAATCGTTTACAGTCCTCGGAGACGGTAGTTCATCTCTGAACGTAAATTCTCGTTACACTCGCCCTGTACTTTCAGGAACCGGCGTAATGACTCCTTGACGAAAAGTTTTCAGCCCCTAGTAAATTATACTAGGCAACGTTTTAGTGAGAAAATACGACCCTGCTTACCTCGCTAGAGTCAGTATGAGCGACACTACACGCTGTTAAAAATACGTCTTTAGTTAAGCAGGGGAAACAGAATTGAAATTTGTGAAAAAAAATGAGATTGTATCTGGGCTAGGCACAGCAATAATGACTGAAGATTCTAATATCTTTATCGATTTCAATTTTTCCCCACCTACGTACCTGAATTTCTTTTGTCTTATATCGCCGAGGTTCTAAATTTCTGCGTTACCCTATGTTTAGACTTCAATGTCAGCTGCCATACTGTTTAGCAGAAGGCGGCGTACTTTTAAGAGCATGCTGTATCGCACATACCCACTCTATGTGACTGACTTGAATCCCAAAAAAACAATTAATCGTCGCGGGTTATGGGGGCCACGCCCTTCCGGGGAAAATTTCGAAAATTTAACCACCGCAAATGCGATTTCCTGCTATTCTAGCCCGTGAGTTAAGCAGTTGTCCAGTAGTTTTGTAACCGAAATCCCACTCTATGCCGACCTGAATTCCAACCATCCAATCAGACTGTTGCAGCTACATTCACAAATAATAATCGAGGCCCGAAAAATGTCGCACAAAGTAGAGTGGCTCCAGACAAAACATTTTAATCCATAGCCAATTTAATACAAATTCTGGTACGGTATTCAATTAAAAGAAAAGTAAAATTAGTGTTTTATTAAACTTTGGGCACCTTTTTGCCAACTAGATGAAATAATACATTTGTTTTTTTCACTTTACCCGAAAAGTCAGCTTGATTACCAACTAGATGAAATAATATTTATTTTTTTCACTTTACCCGTCTGCCCGAAAAGTCAGCTTGCCCCCCACCCCCCGGCTCGTACGCCTATGCTAGAAAGAGTGGCCACACGAAGCCGTCACTACCTATAAGTGCACCGATGGCGGCTTGTACTTGGTTTTCAGACGACTGGACTACAAGTTAGAAGATAAATACGTTTCTAAAAGCCGACATCTGATAGTGAACAGAATAATAGTTTTAGTTTGGACGCGAGAATTTTTTTAAAAAAAAAGAGACGAACTCGAGATCGAGATAAAATATAATTTGTTACACTCACCCGTTTTCAATAAGAGAAAATGAGTTTTGCTTATCAGCACCGTGATTAGGCTTGGCGTAACAGTTTTCAACAATCATTCTGAGACCAACTATATTTGGACTTTGTACTTGGACAAAGATCTCACTACCAACAATTGCCTCAGTAGATACATCTTGCAGTGGATGATGAAAAAGAGCATCACTGAACAGGTTGATTTTGACTATGAAATGTGAAGAGCTACCTAAGTGATGCACGTGGTTTGATTCTACTGGGATGTACGAGATCTCTGTAGATTCATTACGGGAAACGAGACACTGGAGATCTACAGCCCAAAGGAAGTGTCTGATGATACCATCTGGATTAACATGAAGGGACACCAAAGTATTTGTAAACATCAATGTTTGGTTATCAGCCTAAATAATAATATATTAAATGCAAATGAAGTCTTCAAATTTGTAAATTTTAAGACTAAGAGAAATCAAGAGTGGTCGAAATGAACGAATTGTGGAAACTGATTACATAAATCTTAATACAAAAAATATGTACGAGTATACTGCAGCCTCGCCTTGCTATATAGTGCTCTCCATTAAAAATGAGTGTTTGAGTATAGTGCTAAATTCTGTGATATCTTCTATTGTGGTAGCGGGCTATAATAAAGATAATTTAAAACACATAGTTCAGCTCCACAGTGAAGCCAAAACAAAGATAAAGATGTTTAAAACACAGCTCCACAGTGAACCCGTGGCAGTTGAAATTCGACATTAGCACGGTTGATGCAGAAAAGAAGGGCGTTTTATAACTATATTCATTTCCTAATTAGTAACCAATGCCGAGGTCTTCAAATATTCATTTAATTGAAGAGCCTTAAAATATACGATTTTATATTTTGAGTTACGACACATACCTCTTTTGATCTAGTTGAGCAAAGGTCGAAATTCTGATCAAACACTAGCTTGTGACCATCAAGTCTTCCAGTACAAGTTCCACCAAGTAAAATATCGTTATTTACCAAATCAGGAAATAACATTCTCAATCTATCTAAATCGACAGTGACTCCAAAACTATTATCAGAGCAGGATACAGAAATTGTTTCTTCCACGGTACCATTCACTTAAAATAAATTGCATTTATCCATTATCCAAAAGGATATTAAGAAATAAATGTCTTGGAAACGGAAATGAATCTCTCTAGTTTTTTTCTGGCTTATTCCGTACTTATAGACTTATAGCAAATAAAAAAAAATTTGTTTTAAAATTGATTTGGAATATTTCAAGGTAGAATGAGGGGGGGGGGGGGAGTAGTCATACAGACACCGATTTGATTCAAATGAGATACTTTATTTGTTCCTTTGATCAATGGCAACACAGTGGCCCAGTGGGTAAGATGCCGGTTAGCTAACCAGGAGGACTCGAGTGATAGACGACGGATGGCAGTGAACAGCGTCTAGTCGTTCGGAAGGTGCGGAAAACCGAGGTTCCGTGTACACGTTGGCGTGCACACACACAAACGAAAGCTTGATAGTTGGAATTCCAAATACGAGGACCGCCAAATAGCACATTGCATGGTGTGTATGTGATTAGCGTTGCCGGTGCAGATAATTAATCCCATTACATTTTTGTTTCTTTGAAGATAACATTGGTCCAAATACTGGACCTCGGGGACACCATTTTGAAAATAACCCTGTCGGATCCGAACAGAAAATAAAGTTATAGCTACTGAGCTATATATTTCAATGATACTGATTTTGAAACGTCTCTACTCACAGCATGCAAGTCTTGATCTCTCACGTATAGGGCATGTTTTCTTTCCGTTATCCGTTGGACACTCGGCTAAAAATGTTTCATTTCCAATACAATTTAAGATAAATGGAAGGGCCGTTGTATCAGATATATTAGGTGATAATTCCTTAGCAAACACATGACTGGAAATATAAACAAAAAAAACCCAACAAAATATTATATACACTACCTATATCTGAATATTAACTAATGCAAACCAAATATTATATACACTACGATATCTAAATAGAATACAATATCTAATGTAATCCAAATACCAACTACGAATCTGTAAATTTTAACTAATGCAATACAAATGTCAACTTCGAAAATCTAAATTTTAACTAACGAAATCCAAATATCAACTACGAATATGTAAATGTTAACTAATACAATCAAAATACCAACTACGAATATATAAATGTTAACTAATGACGATGACGATGCAATAGGATTCGACCTTTGTAAGGTCGACGGCAGCGTAACCCAAAAGCAGCCAGGCGCCTTCGGACTGTTTGAGGGCTGATCTGACGTTGCCGTGTTCCAACAGCCCCGCTGGCAGTAGCAGTAGCTGACTAGAACCCGTTGCACAGATGCTGTAGTCGGATGTGGCGATCTTGAGCAGCGGTTTTTACACGTGGCGCTCCAGGTCGGGGTCGATCGGCAACTCTTCCAGTGGCGTGGAAGTGTTGTCTGAGGCGAGCAATGGTCGATGGACATTAAAGTGTCTGGCGACGGCTACCTGTGAAGCCCCCTGATCCAGCATGCCAATAGCTCTGTTCCTATTTTCTTTTGTAAGGCGTGGCATTTTTCCGAAGTGATAAATGTTGAAATTTTGATCTGTATTTAAAAGGCCAGAGTGCAGGGAATGCACGCGCAAAACGTGTGATATGGGACTGCTTAAAATCGCGAAAAAATACAAGTGTTGCGTTTGCACGAACAAAGTTCATTACCGAGAACTGATATTGGTTCAAACCCAGAACACCACAAAAATAGACCCATCACAAGATTCACCTATGTGCCATAAGATAGGAAAGCCCAAGAAAAGGTTTACCAGAAATATTTCACGAATTAGGCATTACGTTTTTAATGGCTTTGAATATATATGTTTCGTTATTTAAACGTACCTCTTGCCAAATAGGTCATTTAAGTTAAAAAACAAAACCATAGCGTTTTTATGACAAAATCGGGCTTTTACGCTCGTATGAAATCCAAAGGGAACGATCGCAAGATCTGATTTTGGAGCAGATTTATGGGTTGACATGACTACCACGAAATTGATATATTTACTGTCCACGTCTTCATGTTAGACGAACCACAAGATATTGAAAGGTGAAGGTGAAGAAGGCATAGATCACAATATTATTTATATCACTCCAGACAATGCAGGATAATGGTGACTGCACATGCCAACCTCTTACATACTCCTACGTTCGAGCAGAAGTGCTCACTTGCATTCCCATTTTATATTGGAAGTGCTCTCTGACTTGAGTTTGTACATTCTTACTTTTGGGACCCCTGAGAAAGGCCATTTTAGTAGTGCTGACAGACCTATTTTTGGTCAATGTCATTTTGTCCTTCAGGGATATCAATGTGGAATGCTTCTCCCTAAATGTTTCTATTCAATGATCTGCTCCTAACTACAGATGAGAATAAGCGCGGTGTAATTCCTAAAATATTCTGGACCAAAATAACCTATTTGCCACGACGAATGTTCAAGTAAGCAACCGTGATAGAAAGGGTGATAATTTGAAGATAATCGACAATAAATAAACGTACCTGTCGAATAATGTCAAATGTAGACATTCATTGTTAATTTGTAAGATATGGTAATCAATTTTGGTGGGTGACATCGTGCGGCGGGCCATGCGAATCTACTTATCCTAAGCTTGTTGTGTAGGCAGGTTGCTGATCTTGTGACAACGACTTATATGTCACTTGATCATCTATAATCCCCACGAAAACAGGTTTCTAGAGCGAGCATGGGCATCCTTCAGAAACACTCCAAGCCACGGGCGACGTAACAGTTTGTGATTGCTGACTTAGATGAGATGCTTCTCAGAATAACAGATCATCCAAATTTAATTTTGCGCCAAATATGCCCATTTTATGCTTGTTTTTCTATTAACAAACATTTTCCAGGTCGGTATCAACTGAATCAATCTAATATATAATTTGTGCTGATGTATCTGAATACTAACCCATCTCACCGAAAACATTTGTCCAAATCCCTATCGCAAGAGTTATCACCCCCTACATGGTGCTTTCGCGGACACGTTCTTAATACTAAAACAAAATAATAGAAATAAATCATTGGCTTTGGTCAGGTTCGATTCGGGGTCAACCATTTAAGTGTGCGTTTGCATTTTATGGTGAGTTCGTAAAGCAAATCCAACATATGGGACTTATCTATTCTTTAGGTTTGATCCGTTGCCTATACCACGAAATACGTAACCAACAGCGCAACGTTGAAACGATGTGTCCTATAGATATAAAATATAACGATAAATTCACTGCTGTGACTCCAAACCGTTGGACTATTTGCATCCGAATTTGTATTTAATTGGATTGTTTTTAACTTTATCAAACCGACCTTCTGTTAAATCCTAGGTTTTGACAAACAAACATTCCCATTTGTTCACTATAATCCGTCGGACAAATTCCCTGCCATTCCCCATTATGGTAAACCTCTATAAAACTTTTATTGTCCAATCTTGCGGGTAAAAGGTTGCCATCTATAAGATATAATAATACGGTTGATGTGATTGTAAGTTGAACTAAAAACCATCTATACATGGGTTAATACACTGCTACATTGACCAATTATAAGTTAAGAGGCTTAAAACGACATGTGCGTATAAAATAATTATGTACATTAATCTGTTTTTGGTTCAGACTGTCTGTAAATATATTTAATCACAAATATAGATGTATGTTTAATGTTTCTGTCTACGAGCAGAAACCGAAACTGAAGGCGTTAATTGGGATGACAAATGTTATAGTAAGAAATATGACATATTACCACACTTCACTCCTGCAACCTCAGTATCACCGCAGTTGTCAGTTCCCCAAGTTGAGTGGATACAATCCTCTATTCTGGCTTCCGTACCCTTACACTGAACGTCATCCAACCAATAGTCTCCACTGTTTCTAAACCACGTGTTATTATCAGAATCATAAAAGTCTATGTTATCAATACTGTAATTATGAAAACATTTATTATTTACAACAGCAATTATTAGTATCATATGTATTATGTATTATAAGAAAATATAGTATCTCCAACAATGGGATTAGGGAAACATTAGTAATAATAGACTTTTGTATTTAAACCACTGGGCTATGACTCTGCTGATTGCCATTGGCTTCGGAGTTATCTTCATATATATTTGTAACGTTTTAGTTCAGCTCATGACCCTCACAAGCCTATGCCCCCCCCCCTCTGGCCATAAGTTTTAGTGACGCCCCCCCCCACCAACTGATGTGTTCAGTGCCTGCGCTCAGTCGACTTTTTAGGATTAAAGAAATTTTAAAATACATTTTTTTATACTTTTAAAACTTTATCTAAATATCTATTTATTAAATGGACTTATAAGTAAAAATTCAATTTTTTTTTCCTCTGCCACCTTCCATTTGATCGAAAACTCCTATAATATATCTTGGAAAAACCATAATCCTGCCCTCCCAGTTTGCGAAGGCCGGTGATTTATTGTCTCATCTTCCAAGGAGGCTAGTCCATAAAAATTCAAAATATGCACTTAGAAAATTCGCCGAGGAAAAATTATACTCAATTGTAGAAATTGAACATGGCGTGGATTACAGATTATATTTAGAAAATCAGTTGAAACGATTTCTAGACGATATATTCTGTATTTGGAATGAACGAATTGGCAACGTTGCAGATTTGCTAAAATAATGAATGATTTAGATCTAAATATCAAAATCACAATTGAACCGAACGATCTGCAAATCGCATTCTTGGACGTTCTGGTTGAACGAAGGGGAGAACTCTAAGGAAAAAGGTACCGAAAACTATCTCTCTTATGAATCATGTCATCCACGTCATACCAAAAATAGTATACCCTTTTCTTTAGCTAGTAAAATATGCACAATTGTGATATATGACGACCACCGGATAGTATACCCTTTTCTTTAGCTAGTAAAATATGCACAATTGTGATATATGACGACCACCGGATTGTGAGATTGGGTGAGCTAAAAAGAAATTTATTGAAACAACATTACACACTCGATGTAATAGAAGTTGGGATAAATAAGGCTTGGGCAATTGATATTCAAACATTGAGGGCTACTAAAGCAAAAGACAGTTCGGATAATATTATTACCATTGTCTCTACCCATAACCCCCAGCATCCCAACTTCTTTTAAACAATGCACGAGAGCAGGACAATCCTGGCATCAAACGACGGCCCCATTTCACTTGCAAAGAGATACACTGTCAAAAGTGAAAATGGACGTTTTTGATTTTTGTCTTAATAATGAGTAATTTCCCCACCAATCCTCAGATATTCAGCAATTCGTCGTGGCATGCTCCTAATCAACCGTCCAGTCAGGATTTGGGGCAATCTGACTCACCCCTCTTGCAGTGCCACGGCCAATTCTTGCAGTGTTGTCGGTTGACGTTGACACGTCTCCCGATCATGTCCTAGAAATGCTCTATAGGGGAAAGGTCAGGACTCGTGGCTGGCCAAGGCATATGGACAATATGGTGACGCTGGAGGTAGTCAGTAACGACACGAGCGCGGTGGGCACGGGCATTGTCATCTTGAAAGATGAAACGTCGACCTGCACGTTGAGCAAAGGGCAGAACTATCGATGCCAGGATGTGGTCACGGTAGTACACACCAGTGACCCTTCCTTGGACAATATGCAAGTCCGTTCTGCCAGTCATGGTGATTTCTCCCCTCACCATAACAGACCCACGCCCGAATCTGTCATGCTGTCTGACGTTAACATGACGCTCATTTACACGCCTCCAAACGCGAGCACGCCTATCAGTAAAATCCAGAGTAAATCTGGACTCATCTGAGAACATTACTTACACGCGCCCATCGACGATTACCTCAATTTCTACGCTGCCTACACCATTGACGCCTGTTTGCCATGTGCTGGCGAGTTAATGGAGGCACAACACGCGGTCGTCGCTCATGCAAATGGGCTGCATGTAGCCGATTTCTAATCGTTTAGGTGTAACTCGAATTCCTGTAACTTGGTACAAGTTTACAGGAAGCTGATTGGCCGTTTGTCCTTGATTTCGCAGTGTCTGTGTAGAAATGTATCGATCCTGGGCTTGTGTAGTGGCTCTAGGACGACCCGAACGAGGTCTATCATCAACATTGTGTGTTTGTTGGTATCGGTTCCACAGTCTGCTGATCACAGACTGTGACACATTGAGCATGTTGGCTACTGCTCGCTGTGTAGAACCCATTTGAAGCATGCCAATAGCACGTAGACGTTCATTATGTTGAAGACGTCTCATTGCAAATTAAACGTAACACACTAAAGCAAAGATACGCTAAACAGTAAATCTTATGCAAGAACCGATAGGAAAGCAAACATGGATAGGATAAATCAGCACGCGGCAGTTTTCATCAACCCTTGAAGTGTCAAATTTGACAATGAACCCCTCCCACGTATATGGCGTTATTGTGTGTCGCACATGCAGCTCAGCGGTTCTGTTGGGGCGATAAGTTCTTCATCTGTGAACATACTGTCATAGTGTGCAACAAACATATATTTGTTGTACACTAACAATTAATTAAATTAAAGATTAAGCCGTTAACTCGATAATCCCTCTTGTCCAGTTAAACTTAGGTTGTTAACATGTCTTGGTCTGGGTTATAATCCTCTCCATTAGACACGGATTAAATACTTTAGAATGCACGCTAATCAAATCTATGGTAACCGAAATTAGGATATAAACCCAGAAACTCAAGAAGCATAATCATTATTATCTCTTGAAGACATTAAAGACATTATGTGTTAACAATCTCTTCTTATTATTAGTTAAGTCATTCTATGTTCATATATTTCATTTTCATTGTATTCTTCAGCTATAGTACGCTGATTATATATTTTATGTAAATTTATATTGTTAGCATATGTCCAACTAAATATCATGATGAAATTAATGTTTAGATATTCAAATATATTTTGTTTTAAATAGTAATGTATAAACTAGATACTCTTTTTAGGTATAATCGATACAATAGCCGTATGCTAATTATCATCAAGAATTATACCGCTGTACGAAGTATAAAAGATCGTTCGCATTCGATAAAATAACCCTTTGTGTTCATATCGAATGTGAGGAACAAATAACTTACGAGTTCACGTTCAGATCTCTAGTAATATGGTTACGTCATAACCATCATTAATAATGAGAAAGCATCTCAAACTTTTTAATTATCACGCATTAATAGCGTTCTAGAATTATTATATTCATAACTTATTTATTAATGACATATGATATCGATTATTTTCATAATTGCATATTCACTAATTATTATTTACATATTTGTTAATTGCATATTTACTATTTCATTACTCAATTACTATATATATTGGATAATCATTATTATCTCTTGAAGACATTAAAGACATTATGTGTTAACAATCTCTTCTTATTATTAGGTAACATTGTGAGAACTAGTGACAAATAACCCAAGGGTTGCGTCACATCGCCCAAGACAGAATAAGGGCACGTTCTCAATACTCTCAAAGCATGTCAAGTGTCCATGACTATTTATCATATCACAACCTGCATAGATATTTGCATTTCAATATCCACTACTTTTTTCGAAGAGTATATATAAATGAGAAAAAGGAGGGTACCGAGAACAGAGCCCTATGGCACGCCGAGGGAATGGTTTTTGGGGAGGAGGAGACACCCCCAGTAACAACCGATTGTTTCCTCCCTCTAAATAGTTGTGAAACCATTGAAGGATGTCTACCCGTATCCCCGCAGCTTCAAGCTTGTGATAGAGTCCAGCATGTCAGACCCTGTCAAAAGCTTTACTGATATCACAGATCACTGCTCTCGTGTTGAATCCCTGATCAATGGCTTGACAAAATAAGTGTGCAATATCGGTAAGTTGGTCGTAGCTTCCTACAGAAGGCGTTGATATCCTAATTCCTGTATATTAGCTTTAGGCGTAAGTTTGAATTTTAGTCCTTTCTGTAGGAGGTTTATCTCGTAATGATTTAGAACTACGGATGATACATTTATGAATTTTGGGTGTACTGGTTCTGAGAATTGGATATTGTGTGGACGTTCCTTGAGTGACGCTGAACTTTCTTGTATTGAGGAGGTGGTCGCTGTGGCTGGCATGGTGGTCGGTGTAGTTGAGATTGACCTCTCTGAAAAAATTGCATCCGGGCTTGAGAGGTGTGTTCGGTGGTTGTAATTGGGCACGTTTGTCACTTTTCTGCCAATTTGGCTGTGCACATTCTGGTTTTTATCGCCATTGCTTCTTTGTGCCCTTGAGTGTTTTTTTTTCTCCCAGCTTGGTTGCGCACATTTGGGTTTTTATTGTCAATGTTTTTTGTGTCCCGAGTTTCGTCCTTAGGTTTTGCTTTTTATTCCGGAACGTTTGCAGAGTGGACCGGGATGGTGTTGCGTCGAACGAATTGGGTTCATCGGAATCTTGACAATTGTTACTCTCTGTATGGATACGCTCAATGTCTGCAGCACGTGTGGCGTGGGCAAG